GTGACTCCGCGCAGACTGGACTCAAACCACTTTGCCGCCATCAGTCTGGTCCTCACTACCTCCACCCTCATTACGGGCATCAACACCCTGTTGAGCTTCTATGGCTGGCAGACGATTGCCGTCTTCCATGAAGTCAGCCTGGAGGGTGGCGAGTCTGCGTTTCTGGCGCATCAGATAGTTCTGACGTTGAGCGTCGGGGGTGCCAGCACGGGACCCTTTAAAGTTGTGCGTCGACAGGGCCTGCGTCAGGGAATGAATCATGCAGAACTACTGGCCGACAAGTACAGTCAACTGGATGGTCAGCCCTCCATCTTGTGCTTCTTTTTATTATACGCACACGACATTGCTTTATTTGCCACATGAAATTTTAGCCTCAAGAAGATTACTCACATATGACGAAGCACCCTCCTCAAATATTTCAGTCATGTTAGGATGTTGCCTCTTGAGCGAGCTTCTTTGCAGTGGCCTGCCATAAATTTCTTAAGAAGTATGTTTTATTTCTCCCGGATGATCTGTAACCTTTAAAGTTAGATATACTTATAGAAAAAGGGTGTGAAATCATTCTTTCTCCTTCTCACTTGGTAGAAAATTGCACCTTCTTTAAATTTTAAACTGGAAGAAAGGGAAGCTTTCGGTACAAACACAATGTCTATTTATTTATTAATGTGGCTTATAAAGCATGCAGCATGGTCCATCGTAGGATGTTTTCCTCATAAAGTTGAGAAATGTGTAGGCTCCATTAGACAGAATATGTACGCCGTGTACTTTGAAAGCCGTGAATGAAATTTTAACGGCAGAGCGGGCTCAAATATTCGGCAATTGAAAAAATTATAAAGCAAGATGCTACCTTTTCTTCATGTTTAATATTTAAGGAAGACGTAATTGTTTACTAAATAAGAACAAGGAAGTCTATTTAGTGTAGGCTGTCATTTATATATTTTTGTTCTCATAAGGGAGAGAAAATAAACGAGAAAATGTATACGGCTTAAGAAATTATTTCTCGCAGAGCGTAGCTTCCATTGCCAGCGGACGCTAGCTCGTTGGAGAGCCAGCATCCTGAAATGATTGTCATATTTAGAGATTATGCACCTAACTAATGAGTATTAAAATCTGCTTAAGTAGCATTGTCTAAACGGATGCACACTTCTGTAAGATATCGTTCAATGTATACGAATATAGAAATTCAATGAGAAAATAAACGATTTCTTAGTAGTAATTATTAGAGTATCTATCCAGACACCGTAAAAAGCTTGTTTAAAAAGCCGGTATCCCATCTTGACTGCAATACCCAAGGATTAGCCCGCACGGATATTAATGTTTTAACCCAGTTCAACTAATTTTTTTGTTTCGAATTGAAAACACATTTTAGAATTTCGGCCAGCAGTTATCGAGGCTGCATCTCTACTGTATGTTGAGGTCCACATTTATTTAATCATCATCTACTTTATTGCGTTACATCACTTATCTTTTTCTACCGCCTTAACCTAGTGGGCTACCTTAATATCCCTTTGCTCTAACAATCATTTTTTGCGTGCAGTTAAAAGAGTAAGAAAGATGCTGTGACTGTCCTGTAATCATGAGACGTTTTGTCACTTATTAACTTCGGTCAAAGTAACTTATTTGGCAGGACTGACAAAGGAAAGCTCTGCTGAATGATCTGGTGTGTCCAAAGTCGTTTGAAAATTGTTATTTAAATTTCAAGCTGAAGCTTCATTTTCTCGGCCATTTTCACCTACCTCTGCTAGCATTTATGCCAGCCCACTTTTTTGCTTTCGCTGCATAAAAATCGGGTTTTTTGCGTTGGCGTGAGTCTCAGTCCCGTGCAGGGTTCGAGCATTACGAGAAAAAAACTGATAACCAGAAAAAAATAACTCCGTCGCAGTAGCATTGCGTGCTAGAGGCCAGCTATAGAGCCAAGAAAGAACCACTTTGCGGATGTGGATTGCGTGGCCGAATTATGCTGTAGACTGCTTTTACCATGTCTACTTCAGGCGCCCATACAATGAGTACGATTTTATCAACCAATAAACGCTGAGAAAGTGGGCTTTTAAAGGAGCTCTCCAGTGCGCTGGGAAGCTTAATTGTCTTCTAAGTACTCGGCGTTCACATCTGCTATCGTCATGTTAGGACCAAGTCCTTTCACCTTCCTAGTTGTCCACAGCTTCTTCCTTCAACGCCCTTCTTCGGACACCTCGGAGTGAGCTTCTTTCTCACTGACGGAATCTGTGGACCCACTTTTACACTCTTTGACTATTCCTCCAGTATCGTCTCTCCTGTCGAAGCCATGCAAAGTTTGGAGGGCTGGCACCAACCTGGTGCCCCACCAGTTGTGCAACTATCTGCCGGCTTCTTCAGAATTCCAGGTTGCAATCTGAGACAAAACAGACGATCTAGCGCTATTTTAGCCGCCTTGAGCACAATAAATGGCACAGCAGCCCTGGAAAACGAGTTTGCTGTCTTCATTGGTCCACCCATGACAGGCGACTGTGGTCTTGTGTCGGATTGGATATCCCTGGGCGACCAGGGTGATTCGCAAGACCTTGGCCTCTATGAAATCAGCTATTTATGTCGTAGGAACATTAGGGCTGAGGCCCTTGCCACCGTAGTCGACGGTGATGACCGAAAACCCTTCGGAGCCTATATGAACTCCTTTAGCACGCCGTCGAATACGAGAAAGTATCTGAAGGCCTTGACGGCTTTATTTTACAGATATCGCTGCAAGTACGTTGTTATGTTTTATGAACTCAGTTCCGATATAACGGACAATGGATTTTTCGCCAATGAGTTGTCAGTCTTATTGGCCAATGGTGAATACGATAATTTTGAAGTCATCAATGTGTATCGGCTGCGGCCGGAGAGAACTAAGTTCTCGGTCTTCAGACTGGAAAATGAAACTTTTGACGGTTCGTACGCAGCCTTCTGGTTTAGTGGTTTTTCGAGCCATACGGGTGGTTTCATGTCGCACTAAATGTCAACCGAGATTCAGAAATGTGTTTTCGATTGGGACTAACTACCTAAGTATGATAGTACTATTAATTATTACGCAACAGCATACAAAATATTTCGCCGGCAGAAAGTACACATAGTAACAGAATTTCACTTGACATTTCCTGAGGTGTTGAATCTACTGTATACATAATTAGAAATTGACATAGTGATGTTGCATATCAGATAGCTTATTATGCCATCATGGTTAATGTTTCCTGCACTTTTTCCTTCATGCAAAAAGAAGCAGCAATCACGACAGTAACTCGTTGACTTTACAAACAGCTGGAACTACGTGGAACGATCATTAGATCGGCCTAGCATTGCCCATCCATAAAACTGCCTACACTAACCCTAACCATACACTAAAGCCAAACTCCTATATTAGCGACTGCTAGGTGTCAAGTTCTCCAAATTGTAATTAATCGACAATGGCTACTGTTATTAATCAATGAGCAGACTTATAAGCATATCAATTAGTTTGGTTGTTAAAATAATAAATTATTGAATTCCTTATCAATGGCTATTGAATTGCGACAGCAAAAGACTGCCTGATAATCCTAATAATTGTCATTGTTATTAGGTATAGTCAGTCGGGCAAGCACTCTGCCGGTAGGCAAATGACACGGCTCGTACATGACAACATGCAAACCAAAATTTCCACAAGCACTAACAGGTTTACTGACTATGTGCTCAGTAGCAATGTAATAAACTCACGGCAAAGTTGCCGAACATAACGTTGATGTTCTGTGCTTTTTCAGCTATTATACTGCTTACGCGGCCGGCATTGGCGAAGGAGTTCTTGATAGAAACGCGCAATGTTACTGCCATCAAACAAGGCATAATTGCAATCATCCACATCGAGCCTACGGACATGTTGACCTATGATATCCTGCGATTGTGGCGAAATGAACTGGAAAGTGGAGTTGACCTGGGAGCGGCCGGGCAGAGTCTCATCATCATGACAACTCTGCCAACGAGGACTATCTATCAGCCCAACTCTTCCATTTATACGAACGTAAGTGGAGCGCACGATTTTCAAACATTATACTGGAGAATTTACAGGTTTCTGTAATATCAAGATACCTTTGGGAAGATATTTGGAAAAACATCGCCGTAGTGTAAATACCAACAATTTATATTGAGCTGAATCAAGTTCGCAAATATCGAAAGCCTCAGTGGAATTAAAACCTACGATAACAAGTGCAAGACCTATGTTTAGCCAGTGGTCTGAACATTGGAGATACGAGACTCCATTGACAGTCGCAAGTGTAATGGGTCAAGTTGTCCGACCAACAAACAGCAATATTTGGAATCCGTAAATTCTGGTGTGGAGATAAGGACAATACCAGCAAAGATGAAGGGGGCTGAAATGGCCATTTCTGATATATTATTCATCATCAGTAGGTCAGAGCTAAACCCGGGTGTTGCTACTCTAAAGTGTGACCGTATTGCATAGTCATAATTCCGTAAAGAATCAGAATAGAGTCCAACAGATAACTACTAGGTGCACAGTTTATTCCCTCTGCTCTTTTCCTCTCACCAGAAAATAAACCTGGCTGCTGCGGCTGCGGCAGGACTAGCAATGCGTCTCACACAGCTAAACGTCAAGGCGGGCGGTGGCAAACTGGATC